GGAGTAATGCAAACACAGAACTGGAAGGGAAGCTGTGTGTCAGAGTGCAGGTCTGCTACAGCGGGCAGTGAAGGTCATGTAATCTCTTCCAGAAATGGCTGAAGCTCTGAGTTAAAACTAGTTTGGTGTCTGAGGGAGAGGGCTGCTCGGTCCATTTACTCCTCTTGGGAAAGGTACTTCTGCTAATTCACCATATGTCAATATGATCTCCTCTCTCTTTAGAGTTTCCCATTGATGTAGTCACAGGAGCAATCCTATTCCCATACAGATTTTATTTTGCTAGGTGAAGGAGGACAAATCTAAAATTGGTCTTATGCTCAGTTAGGAACTTACTGATGGATTATTATGCTGCCAATAATTCCCTCGTTGAGGTCCTCCACAGATCTATAGTCAAGCATGATAAATTGTTGATATATAGAGAAAGCATCCTTAGTAATGGTACTGCCATGGTGAGGCGGTTTGAATAAGGTGAATCCACTCACCTGAACAATACTAGGGAGTAGCACTTCAAAGATTTGAAAATATCACTAAAAGGAAAAAAAAAATACTGAGGAAACATGACAAATGTCAGTGTGTTTGCATTTTTTCTGGGACAAATCTAAGGCAGGTGATTTTGAGTCATAGTGCCAGCCTGGCAAAGGAAGCTGGTGCGGTAGCTGCGGGCATCAGTGACAAAGGAAAAAGAGTATTATCTGTGTCCTCATGAGATGGCACCCTGAATCAGCAGTGCACACAGGGAAGGGTTCAAAATTTTTTCTTCCTGGAAGGAGTGGACCACAGATGCTTTTGTGGGAAGTAATTAATCCAAAGCGTTGTCTCTCAGCATTTGTTTCACAGAAGTTGATCTTAGTCTTTGTACAGTGGGAAAAAGATAAAGTTTCAAAATAATGTGTCAGAGGGGTTTGTCTCTTTTACATATATAGATTTCCCCTTATGTTTTGACTTCCTAGTCATATTGCAAGGTTGTTATTTTTACAGGCTCTCCCAAGTAGTCAGTCCAATCTATCTCTTTATTAAGCTGGTTTATTTGTATTACACCAAGCATTATGCCTGGTGCTAAGTGTTGGGAGCAACACCTTTAGGGAAAATAGTCAGATCCTCAGCAACCTGATTCCAGCACATGGGATCATTCGTTTCCCCTTTGCCAGATTAAAGTCTTTGTTCTCACTGAAAGCTGTCAGCTGTTTGGTTGCCTATTTCATTTTTTTCCTAATGAAACGTATATTCCAGTCCAGAACAGCCTCACTAAAAAAAACACCCAAAAGTGAGCACATGTAAGTATGAGAAATTAATTTCCTGTCTGTTATTAGAAGTAATCACAGGTGAGTTATACTTCTACGTCAGCAGACGTGTCTGAAGAAAGCTGTATTGCTGCCATACATGTTGAATCAGTGTGTTGCTATGTGACACCATCCTTCATGCGTATCAGTGCAAACTCTTGTGAGTGTTCAGTTTGTGCCTCTCTCAATGGAACCACAGAATAACACTTTATTACTGAAAGTGTTATTTTAATTTCAAATTAACTTGTGATTTATAACTGTTGGTCTGATCTTTGCTAGCATTTCTTATGAAAATGAAAAATATTTTGGCTAGGGCTTATTACTGTTGCTAAATACTAATCTAGACCTGTGTAGTGTGAGGAATATGAAAAGTTCTGCTGTGTATACCTGTTTACAGACACTGCAGTCTTACCCTTTGAGTTTTTCTAATTGTGTTAAAATTGTAGGTCACTCAATCAAAATAAAAGCTTACAAATGACCTCCTATAATTGGCTTCCTTGCAAGATCCAAAGCTTGCTGTGAAAGTTGTAACTCGATTAGAAGACCTTTCACGACTGGCAGCGTATAAAGAATGCACCAGCTTGTTCTATTCATTATTCAATCCCACTTATAGCTGATCTCCTGTGTGGTCTCTGAAGCATGACAGCATTAATTGCAGTCACACGTGCACTGAGCGTTAGTGAGTTTAGGGGAAGGAAAAAAACAAACAAACAAACAAAAAGACTACAGTGGACGCTTTGAGTTTCTGAAATAGTTGAAATAGTTCTCCATGCTGTGTTGTGCAGTGGGAATATTCTCTCCCCCCAAATGAGCTTGCTCAAAGGGTGGAGAGAATGCGGCTGTTTTTCTTTCCTTTCCAGCAGCAAGTAGGAACAGGGTTCCTAGGAGGTGTTCAGAGGGAGTGGTGAGAAGAGCTGGGGAGCGAAGGCCAAAAGCAGGCTGAGTAACAGGAGAGTCACCTGGCTGCTTGCATCCTTTCTGCAACAATGCGTGTCCGGCTTGCTCGTTTGTAGGTGAAGACACACGTATGTAACTGCTGGATCCTTGCAGCCAGGGATGTCTTTGTGTTTTTCCTTGGGCTGTTGAAGACCTGGAAGAGTGAAGACAAGAGCTCAGTTATTACTTTGTCAGTAGACTGTAACTTGTCTGTGTTACAAGGCTTCAGACTTTAATATTAAAGTGTTCCACGTCACACATGCATCGTTTCTACCTTATTTATTTACCTTATTTTCTGAGATAATGCCATGGTAGGAGGTGTCCAACTCAGAGGAGGCTTAAAAACAGTTTTGATTTTTTGATAAGGAAAAATCCTGTTACTGGTTCTATTATTTTTTTTAACTTGGTGATAGAAATACAAATCATAATAAGTGTGTGTTGAAAATACTTCGAGATTAAACTGAACAAGACTAATCTAGTGAAAGGTAAATGCAGGAGATGGGAAAACTGATCCAAGCAGTTGTCATTCAGTCAGACTGAGAAAGAGTTGGAGAACTGCTTCATTTCTTGTCCCTTGCAAACCTCAGCTACCTGAGGTTAAGCATCTTCTACCTTTGCACATCTTCCTGGTTGGGCTATGAGTAAGACTCAGCCATATGCCAGGAATTCCCATAAATAGGAGTAAGAAGCTACCAAGAAATCACAGTTATTTTAACATTACCTCCAACAGCAAATGAGCCCAAAATACCCATTCTCAGGGGATGCAGGACTGCCCTCTGAGCCGCTCAGTTACCAGTGCCGGTAGAGACTCCTTCATTTGAAGCATCACAGTTGCAGCAGTGATTATTAGTTTCAGGGCACCATGACCAGAAATAATTAATTTCTCAGCAGTAACTAGGTTGGGCTGAAGCATTCTGTACAGCTCCGTAGTGCCAGACCTCAGCTATCGCAGAGCAGTTGTCTAGTGGAGGGTAAGTGATGTTTACCACCTCCAGCTTGGCAATGTAGAGTCCTTTCCCTTTTTCACTGTCCAGCCTTTAAAAGAAACTGATGCACCTACTTAGATCTGCATTTCCCACCTATCACTAGCAAGGAAATGGAGCTGGTGAGTTGTGCTGTCTCTGTTAGGGCAGTCTGGCTGTTGTCCACCTCCCTTATCCAGAAGCTCTTGAGCCACTTCACAGTGACCATACTTGGTAGACCTGGGTCTGAAGGAATGTTTGCTCCTGCAGAGATGGCAATGTTTGGCTTTAGATTACCTGCAGACATCTGAGAAGAGTCTGGCAGCCAACATTATTGTGGATCTTCATCAAAATTTCTCATACAGAACTCATAATCAGATACATAACAATGATGGCCCAGATGGCACAGTTTAGCCAGCTGGCCTGTATCTTATTTTAATTGCTTAAACATATCCACACCCTGTCTTTGTTATGAATTCACTTATGGCAAAGCATATGAATTTTAAATTTGCTCTCTGGTAATGATGGAAGGTGAACCCCATCTGCATCACAGCAGAAAGTAAAATATAATTTCCTTTGGGTAATAAGAGGTTAGGAGCCTTTTGGAAGGAAACATGGGTAGGACCTGATCAGGGTGCCGTGGCGCAGTGTGATTTATGCTCAAAGCAGCACAGGAACATGTCATTCCAGAAGGAGATAACAGCTCCCCAGTTCCCACTGTCAGCAAGGAGGCACCATGTCTGGAGAAACACATCCTTTGGTTTCCTGGCCCTTTCATTTGGGCAGCTAGACATGCCAGCACTGCAGAGCTGAAAGCGAACTCAATTGTCTTGCATTTACCTTTTGCAGTCTAAAAGCATGCAGAGGCACCTGGGGTTACTGAGGTGTGAACCTGAGCTGTACCTGTGCACCGCTTCCTCATGGGAACTCAAGTGTAGCCATGGCCTCCCAGGGAGTATTTGCTGGTGTTCCCCGCTGTGGGTGGCTCGGATGCTCCACCAGGGAATGATGTGGAGCAGGCGTAGGCCACCTCTTCCTTGCTAAGGACTGCGTACATCTTTCAAATAAAAATAGACCTGATGGGCTGCACCATCACCTCTCCCTCTCATTTTCTTCTCCCACCCTGTCGTCTTCATCAGTAGTAACATGGACTGTATGACATGAAGCCAGCGAAGGGTGAAGGGATGGGACTTTCTGTTCCTCTCCCACCTCTGGGGACAGCCAGCAGCAGGGCAGCTGCTCCCCTGCAGAGGACTTGGCTGCCTGTGGGAGGATCTCTTGCTTTACAGCAACAAGAAGGGCAGATATTTTTCCTTGACGGTTAACTCCAGTCTGGCCTTGGGCTTTTACACACATATGCCCCTTACAAAGACGGAGTTAAGACACTGTCTTAATGCATGTACAGATGTAAAGTGCCCAGCCATGCACTCCTACACGTTTTGGTTGTCTTCCTGGGTGTCTTATTCGCAATTACAATTTTTCTGCAAATAGCGGCAATTCCAATGTAACTTGGAGTACTGGTTTTGCTCAGAAGGTCTTTTAATTGCTCATCCACTCCTGTATTCTCTCCTTCGTAGTCTTCGTTCATTCTTGTCTGGTGCCTTTTGTACTGTGCTTGCTGAAGGCAACGCACAAAGGCTGCTCTTTCCTGCCGGAGCTTGTTGTTGTCTTCAATAGCTGGGCAGGCAAAGACAACTCTGGTGTGAATCATTTTGCTCCTCCAATGTAGGAGTTGCTATGAAGAATGAATAAGGGGTTAAAAAAAAAAAAAAAGAAAGCGAGAGTGAGAGGGAGTGTGTGTGTATGTGCACAAATTAAGGTTGGGAAAGTGGGAGTGGTGTCAATGAGCAGGCAAGCTAATAGAGTCTTCTGCTCAGCAAGGTCTCACCACGGGTGGCTAGTTCTTCGTGCTGTACCCATTTCATTGATTCGTTTACCAGGATTACAGCCTTGCAAAGTAAGTACATATTTTTTTCTTCCTCGGATACTTTAATTAATGCCTAACTAATAGTTAACAAATCTCAGTTGTGAAACATAAACACATGGAGGGAGTGGGATAAGGAAATTTGTACGAAAAGATATCATGTGGAATTAAAGGAGAAAAAAAGCCTTCCCAAACTACAACATTTGGGTTTCATCCCAAAATTGCTGCATTTGCTATGCTGTATTTCTCCCCCCTGAAAAGATTCATTGGAAGTGGTGACTAGGATCTGGCAGGGCATTAGAAATGATTAAAATATGGTGGTTTATTGCAAATGGCTTTCCCCATATCAGAAGCAGCAGGCTGTGTATGATGCCATGAAAATGCGCCATGTGTCAAAGTAGGATTTAGACTGTTTGTAAGCCTCTATTACAGAGGAATATTCCTCTCATTTTCTGCAGTTGTGTACGCTCTGCTCTGTTTGCTTTGAGTTATTAATCAAGTGACTAATCTGCACTTGTTTAAAGTGAAGGGCAGGAACTTAGGTCCGGTAATTACCAATTTCTTTTCAGTGTGATCATTTAGTTTGGAGAAATCACTGGCTGTTAAGGTATAACAAAGCATATTGTGGTGGCTCATTTCTCTCTTTCCTTCCTGGTGTGACCTTCCCTGCTATATTGCTGATGGTGCTTTTTCCCCAACCGCACGAGACGCTGTGATCCCACATCAGTCTGATGTCTTGTGTTCCTCAAAGAAATGTCTGTTCAGAGGAAATTGTGTCCTTGTTCCATAGCCAGGTACTCTGCCAGGTGGAGAGTTGTCATTTGTGTAGAAGTAAGAATGAATCACAGAAGTGTTTTATTTCCTTTATATTTTGTGTTTGCAGAGTAAGAGCTGAAGTGCGGTCATGTTAAATGCTTGAGCTAGTTTCAAATATTAACGCCTCACTCATGAAACATATGCGTGAGTTGTTTCGTGTAATTTATCCTCTTGGTGGAAGTTTGTTTAAACTGGAGAGACTACAGCGCTAGCACTCACAGCTCCTGAGCTATAAACCCAATACATCCCCTCATCACTGGATGGCCGGCACTGTCACTCTTTATCTGCCACAGATGTCTTCTCCTGGAAGGACTGCTTAACCGAGACAAGAATAAAAGAAATACTTGTTCTGCTTTATCAGATTATCCCTACCATATAACTAACTTGACTTGTCAGACATTTCCACACAGACATTGCTATTCTCCTGATTATATTTTTAAAAGATAAGCTATATTTAGCTTTTCTTTTAGTAAGCAGATAGTAAACAAAGCCTCTCTGTTGTTTTTTTGTTTTGTTTTGTTGTTGTTGTTGCATTCAAGAGTGACTAAGCAAAAATGGTGTCTTATACCAATAAACAAGTTTAAATCAGGTTTTTCTAAACTGGTTCAGTAGCCTTTCAGCTCCCTTCTGTATCTGAAAGCGTTTCTATAACGCTGTGGCAGAGTCACAGTTTTAAGCAAAGCTGGGTGGATCACAGGCTGCCTGTGCTTAGAAGATGCCCGAGTGCCGCAGGCCTGTCTGGAAATGCTGACATACCGCTCTCTCGGGAAAGGAGGGACTCAGCAAACATCCATGCAGCAGGCCTTCTTAAAATTTCATTTTCAATTTTCTGACTCCTCCCTGTTTGAGGGTTCCCTGTGATTACTGACTCAGGAGCTGCCTCTGATTTCTAAGACCGCTAATGGGCAGCTAATGGGCTTTCCTCTGATGGGAGCCTCAACCCTTCTCACTTGACTGGAAATTGCTGTAATGGACTCACAAGGCTTGGGACGCTCATGGCTTTAATGAGATTTAAGATTTTGTAATATTTAACATAGTAAAATTTTTTCCAAGAATATGAATGTCATCATACATTATTAATAAATGGAGCATAAAACCCAGACTGACCAGGTGCAGTTGAAAAAGATGGTCAAATAGAGGTTATTCTTTGCTATCCAGCCCATCATTCAAGGTTAAGGATGAAACTGAGCTTTTTTCCCAACAAAATGCCCAGAATGGGCATATTTCAATAGTAGTGCTAAAAGAAAGAAATTATAAGAGTGGAGAGCTTTACTACTGCCAGAAATCGTTACACTCCGCACAAAAGAAGTTTTGAGAGTATCAGCAGTTACTAGATGAACAAAAGGTAAAAGGTTCACCACGAAATACCTCCTGTTTTCCACACTGAAAAGGAACATCAGAACTTTGTCGAAAATGGTCCAACACGAACAGTATCAGAGTTAGCAATGAGATCAGAAAAGAAGAGTTTTTAAGCCATGGTGCAGCTTTTCACTGGCATAAGGAAGAAGAGTTTCATTCAATTTTGCAAAATTCCGTATTCTATTTTCTTACTCTGAATCTCTTGCAACCCAAGGAAGTGAAACGCAGGTAGCACATACACATCTTTAAATCACCACAGGTTCGCCAATATAGCTGAAAATGCTAATGTTAGAATGACAGCATAGGATTTGCAATATTAAGCCAGAAAGGAACAAGAAGTATTTTTAAGCAGTTATGTTTGCATATTCATTCTTAGCCTGTAAGGAAGATCCAGAGGCCTAAATAGAATAATATCAGGCCAGTCAGCACTAAGGAGTGATATGCTACCCCACTAGCAAATAAGATTTTTTTTCAGGTGAACTGAATGCCCCATTCTGCATTGTGAGATTCTTCATATTGTTTATCTTTTTGAGGGTGGTGGATGTTGAATGACACATTCTTGGTTCCCTGGGTAATTTTCCACCAGCTCCTCAGTAAGAAATACCTGGGAAGTTGGTACTTGCCCCAAATCTTCAAATTTTAGCTGGAGGGAGGGGCGCAGAGACAGAGAGAGAAGGAGGCAAAGTGTACATATGTATTGTGTGTTCGTGTGTGAATGGTTGAGTTAATGGGGAAGATTAATGGTTGAGTTAATGAGGAAGATAAGATAAGTAGCCTATGCAAGGGAGTTTAAGACATGCACAGGCACAAAGGTGGACGTCTGGGATGAGCAACTGCAGAGAGGCATTTTAAAGGATGATTTTACATTTGCTCCTTTGCCCGTGTTGTTCCAAGTTACTCCCTCATCAGCAGTCACCGTCCTTCAACTTCGTTTTAACTTTCTTTTGCCACTGTTCTGTCCAAAGCTCTCCTCCTTTAAGGTGGGTACTAAGCCCATGGTTCCTGGCAAACTTGACTTTTCTGGTAATTAGTTGCTTTCATGCATGAGAAATTGTGACTACGTAAATGAGATAGATGGTTGCAGTGCTGGGCTGGCTCCTTTACACCCATAAGATCTCTGAGATGTGTTTCCTGAACCTCACTCTGATGTCAGCTTGGTGCCTGCTGACACTGTAAAATGGGGTCTCACATGGATAATCTGGCTTTACCAAGCAGCTGCTGGGCAATGCCAGGCTACTAGAAGAGGGACAAGTCCAGCCAGACCCATTCTGAATTCAGGGTTCTGGCCTCTAGATGCTGCAGAGCATACTCGTCTACATTTTTATGTGGAGATAACTTTCTTCAGTGATACATATTTAATGTTTCCCCTCTTCGAAACAAATTCTCTTTTTTTTTTTTCCAGTGGGAGGGGAATTGTTAGCAAACAGTTTGTTGCTAATGCCAACAGTGCGGTGGTGGTTAGGTGTGCTTTTGAAACATGGATTTAAAAAGCCTTGGGTTTATGCCAATCTCCTTTTTTTTTTTTTACTTAATTAGATTGTGCAATGCATTTCAGTAACCTTTTATACAGCATCTTTTAGCCGAAAACAAACCAGTTGCCAAGTAAAACAGTTGCCGTACCAAATAGATCCAAGAACATGTATAAGTTAATTAAAATAAAAATAAAGACATTTATTTTGTAAAAGGCCTTCTGTGATCAAACAGGCCTTACAAGTAAATCAAAGTGTTTTCTCTACCGTGTCACAGGCAAATTATGCACCCGTTCTCTTACTCTCATAAAAATGTATAAATACCACAGATTATTTGGAAGTCATTCACTGCTGTCAAGCACCACAACTGCTCCATAGCATCTCTGTACGATGGTGTCAGATGTTCAGCTAAGTTGGGGCAGTATGACACAGGCACTCAAATAGGAGATTATTGTAATTCAAAATGCCTTTCCAAACTGGGATGAGTGTGAACGGTCAAGAAAGGTACCTTGCTGGAGACCTCTTCCCCTTTCTATCTTATACTTTTCTGCTCTCACCTAGTGAGATCTTTCCTGGCTAGGATGTGAGTGATATGAACTAGGTAAGTAAATGTTTAAGACTTCAGTATTAAGTAGTCAGTTACTGGAGAGAAATCCCTGTCCTTAAGGTGTTTCTCAAAAGATTAGCCAGCTTCCTACCAATATAAGAAATAGATAACTTTCCTTTTCATAATAGGATAGAATAGGACGCCTAAGTCTTCAGTATCAGAGCCTGAAAAGTAAATGTAGATAGGTATGTGTCTGGATAAGAACACACCTTTTAAAATCACCCCTCCACACTATATTTATTCCACTATTTTGTCTTTTTTCCTGGAGAGAGCAAATGCTGGAGACACCTTTTAAGTTCTGTGTGAAATCTTATGCCTTTCGAAGCCTCTCCCAATTTTAATCTTTTCCATTTCCCTTCTGTCTCTCTCAACAGCTTTGATGGAGCTGTTTAACACCAATTTTAACAGATCACCTTTTTTTTAGGGGTACATGATATTGGGTGCAGAGTAGTGTCAAATTCACTATGCCAAAGGGGTCGTTGTCTTTGTGCTTGCTGGTCTAAAGCCAGACTTGCGCTATTGACTGAAATTCTGTGATTCACCCTTGTTAGCTTGAATCTACGCAATCGTGCTTACACCAAAGTGCAATATCAGGTATGTGAAAGCAGTCTGGAGGATGGGAATAGGCTTTTCGAGAGCGGGGACTACAGCAACTGTCCCTCGGGCACCACCCTTCCCATTCCTGACTGCACAGATCATCTAACAGCCCTGTGGCAATTGCAGTTATTAAGAACAGCTAGGAAAATATTTGCAGTTAAAACAGTGTAAGTGATGAGTGGGCATACAGCAGTATTTATTTGGGAGGCCTCCTTTAAGTTTCTAGGACAATCTCAACCTATAGGACCAGACAGCTTTCTGGAGACTTCTAGCAAGGCTGGGGAGAATGGGGAATCATCCCTTAGAGGAAGGACATGTACCAAAGCTAAAGCTTTAATGAACAATTAGCCATGAAGCAAGAGCCAGGAAAGATTATGAGACTATGAAAGGCCTGTCTGAGAGCCAGGAGAGCCCAGAGCATAGGCGAAGTACCTTATAAGTTGGCACATTTTAAGAGTATCAATTAAAAACAGATTAAATTCATACATGATCCAATTTGATTCAATATGCGTGGGTCACCCTGACCTACGCATATTTTCCCAAGTGCTTCTGGTAATAGTGGCTCCATGTAACACATGGCATTGCCAGCTGTCACTTGAAGATGATGGCCATTGCTGAACCACTCCCATTTCCTTGGTTGGACGTGGATGAGAGCTTCCCTCCTCCTCAGGAGCTGCCAGTGTGCTCTGAAGCTGAGTGGGCTTGGTCGAGGGTCTCCTCTCCCTGAAGGTTCAAGCTTCCCAGTCCCCATACTGGTATCCAGCCTCCTTCAGTGCTCTGACCCAGCCCCACCACAGCAGGAGCCAGAATTAACTCTGAGTCATCCATCTCTCTTTTCCCTTTTCTGTTTCAGGATGACAATGGACGCTCTGCAACTAGCGAACACTGCTTTTGCAGTTGATATGTTCAAAAAACTGTGTGAGAAGGACAAAACAGCCAATATTATTTTTTCCCCACTGTGTACCTCAACGTCTCTGGCTCTGGCATATAAAGCTACGAAAGGTGATACTGCAGACCAAATGAAACAGGTAAGCTGTCAGCATCCTGTTCTATGGCTGCAAAATTATATGGCTGTCGGAGGTGGCTTTCTTATTTATTGTTGTTAAAATTCTGCTGGATGTCTGGTTCCCTTGTAAGCCAGGCTGCAAACCACCCACCTGAAAGTCCTGAGTGGTTCCACACTCCATGGCCCCACACAGCAAAAGACGTTGAACATCTGGCATAAAGAAAAAGTTTCTTAAGCATGTACAAGGTGGAAGGGGACATGGCAGACTCCTCAACAGTTGCATTAAAGCCTTGTCTCCTTTTAGTGTGGTGTTGATTCTGGCTGTAAGTCACAGTCAAGATCACTGCATTTTCTGGATAATTGGTTTTTTTTCATTATTCAAGAATGCCTAAGCTTTATAGAATTGGAAATAATTTTACCACTATCTGTCAGCAGCAAGTGGGCTTAGCAGCCATGTCACTGACATTTCGTCTTTCTCCTGCAATACTGCTGAGAGGAGGTGGATGCAGCAGAAGGCGGCACAACTTCAACGATGTTTCTCCTTACAAGCAGCTCATGATGTTTAAGGGGTTTCCAACACCATGATGCAGCATGGCAGTCATGATGCAATCAGTTTATCAAGCTCACTCTGCTGTGCAGGGAGGTAGCCTGGCAGCCTCTTCTGCTGCCTCTGTGCGAGCAGAGATTGGCGTAGCTCCTTTTTATCCCAGTGAGGGTAGCCACGCTTTCTGCAGTTACCTAAAGGTGGATGAGAAGCAAATTCAGTATGCATTTATATGCTGATTATCACCTGGCTCTGAGGGATGTTCTGTATATTTGAATATATTTTCCCTCCTTTGGGAATTCCTCCCTGCACTTCCTCGTTCACTGAAGGTACCCCGAGCACAATCTCCTGTGCCCCAACTCATGCCACAGGGTACAATGAGTCTTGCACTATTTGCAGAGCTGCACAGCAATATATCCATGAAGATCTTCTAGGCATTGCACATTTTTCCAAACAAACAGCATTGTTTTGAAAAAAAGATTAAAAATTAACTCTAGGTTTTTTGTTTTTTTAAAAAATTTAAATCACACCCTGCAGCTTCCTCACCATGTCAAAATTAAAGAATTGTCTTTCTAATGGGAGAGTTCAAAATATTAACCTGCGCTTAATTTTGTTTTCACTTGTGTGTGCAATTTGCTCTGAACCATCCCATAGTAAGTTAACGTACACATCCACAAATGGAGCTCTGTTACACAAGAACATTTATGTTTCATATTTCTCAAGTGATATATAAAAAGTGCTGACTACAGATACTAAGGAGAACTTGGTATGTTTTTAAATGCAATACCTCCTATTTTCCATGTCTATTCTAGCTTCTGCCTGCCCCTGAGTTTGTGCTTGGGTTTTAAATACTGGATACGGAAGGAGCCAGGTTGGCAATCTTACTCTGGAATATGAGTTAACAAACTTGTGCCAAAAGCTCTCCCAGGTGGAGAAGTTGCGGTAGCGTAGCTTTCTCCCCAGATGTAGTTTCCAGGCACAGAAGCTTTCTGCACTTAACATGCTAAGAAATAAAAACTGTTGGAGGAAAAGGAAATAAGTTGAGAAGGTTGTTTCTGAGGAAATGACCGTGGAGTTTGGCTATGAGAGCTCTGCTGGTGCTGTGTCCTCAGGAGCTTATTTCCTTCTGCTCCCACTGAGCAGGCAGAGGGGAGGACCCAGAGGGGTGGCTAAGGCAGAGCCGCAATTTGGCATGTCTGTGAAGATATGATGTCTTCAGGGAGAAAGAGTGGGAGGGAGGGACAAAGGGAAAAGAAGGTTGCGAGTGCCTGCTGTGCCTCATGCGGGAATTTGAGATGGGTGAGGAGGGTTGGGCAGGCTGCCTGTAATGAAACACTCACCATCAAAGACCCTGTAATAAGCAGGCGTTAGAAGTTCAATTCATATTTACAGGGTTATTTTCAAACAAAACCAGCAGTAACCTCTCACCTCTAGTGCCTAAAAGCAGCGAGTTTTAGGTCACCCCAGCACTTCCTAGAACTGGGCTTGTCATTCCCGGGAGCTGGGAGGTGGCCATGTGTCGGTCAGCAGCCCTACCTCCAGCTCATACTTTGTCTAACAAAACAGACAGACTTATCTGATCAATTTTTGCTGAGATATCATGTGATGTCACGTATCAGTCACAGCAATCAGAAAACTTGATGATCTGTTAAGCATTTTTAAAGGTGTAGCCCACTTCTAGAAAGGGGGCTAACTGGGACCCTCATTTATCTGGCTTAAAAGCTCCAGTTTTTTGAACAGGAATGTAAGTTTGGTGAAAACGTTATGACTCCATACAGAGTTTTAATTGACTAAGCCACATCACCAGCATGAACAGCTCTATTGATTTCTTTGGACTGCTCACAGGAAAGAAATGCGTTTGGTTAAAGTTCTGGTAGGATCAGATTTTTAGATTTATGTCAGGATGTTAAATAAATAAATGATTTTTGAGTAACAACAGCGAGACGCTGTGTTGTTAGCTTAAATATGAAAAGCCAGAGCTCTGGTCACAAATGAGCATTATTTTTTGCTAAGCTGTTAGGAAAGTTTAGGTAATAATAATAAAAAAGATGCTTAGTATTTTATTATGTTCATTTAACAGGTACTCCATTTGCAAGATGTCAAAGATGTTTCTTTCGGGTTTCAAACAGTAACTTCAGATGTTTCCAAACTCAGCTCTTTCTTTGCACTGAAAATGGTCAAACGGCTCTTTGTAGACAAGTCTGTTAATCCTACCACAGTAAGTACTGCAGAAAAGCCCTGGTGCTATGAATTGCTTGGCCAGCATGTTGACGGGTTATGGTGTCAGACTGCAATGTTATTTAAAATAGATTCTCTCCCTTTTGGCTGTTACTTGACTAGAACAGTGTAATATTCTCTACTGCCATAAAAGTTTGTAGGAGGATGGATGAGTGCGGTGCTTGAGGCCAGGCTACCCAACTATTACAACACTTTTAATCCTTTCATTAATATGCTTTAGGTCATTAGCTCAGTATGTTTTGAATGCAACATAACTTCTATACCACATCAAGGTCTTTGCATTCTAAGTATGAGCAAAAAGGAGTTTTAAAAAAATTTGACAGTGCAAGTGTATGTCCAGTGCACACACCCGAGTAATTACTGCATAAGCTGTAGTTTTACTAATCTGTTTGAGGAGGCAGAAGCCTGGCTATTGAAACAACACAAGTGAAGAAGGTGGTGTTTCACCTTATAACTTGTGGACTTTGCAAATAACTGAGAAAAATGTTGTGGGTTTTTTTTTCCCCAAAGTTGCCTTTGAATAGGGCCCCAAGCAAGGAGAACATCAGCCTAAGAATGATGTTTCAGAAAACTCTACATGCTTAAATGATGCTATATTCAGATTGCCTGCTGTTCAGCCTCTGCTACGGCAAAGGCCAATACCCATCCACAGCAATAAATGTCTCATCTGGTGAGGACAGACATGATGTGAGCAACTGGTGGCCTTTATCTCAGTCCTCTCTCTTACACAGGCCTGGACTGAGGGCTGTTTTATCCTTTCAAACTCTGGCAACATGGTCACTCCCGCAATACCAAAGTTACTTTAGCTGCTGATGTAACGCTACTGGACTGAAGACAACCTTGGGAGTGATATGCCGAATGCAGCTGTGCGTCCTGGTTGTCACCTGCTGTTATTTAATAGCTGTCCATCATAATAAACTCCCCAGCTCTCCCATGGTGAAGCTTGGGATGCTGATGTTGCAGGTTCTGTAAAGAGCCATTGAGTGGATGGCATTTAACCAAGGAAGACTTTGGTGCCCTGTGTCTTTCAGGACTTTGTCAACTCCACAAAGAGGCCTTTTCCATCTGAACTGGAATTAGTGGAGTTCAAAGAAAAGACTGAGGAAACCCGACAGAAGATCAACCAGTCTCTTTCAGAGCTAACTGATGGTGAGTACAGCTTAACCTTGCAGATGCTATTTGCCTCTTTGGAGAAAGAGATCTTTGTCCTCATGATACCTCTTTATTAATGCTTTTAGAAGTAAATACATAGTGAAAGCAATGGGACTAGACCTACTATTTGGATTCATGAGAATTAGCGACATCAGCCTGTTTTGAAATCACTAACTTTACTACTGCAGCATTTCTGGAGATGGAAATGTGAGGCTGACCTTGCATTAGCCGTGGGGAAAGCTGCTCATATTTGATTGCAGCAGGACAGTTTGAGAGAATGAAAGCTCCAGGCTGCGGAGCTTCACAAACATCTGACATCAATACATCGAACACAGGCCCTGGTTTCATTTAGAAGTTTTATTGTAATGGGAAATACTTGTTGGACTCTGAATTTCAGGCTCTTAATAGCTCAGCTCAGCTAAGCTGCTTTTACCAGCAAGGGTGCCACAAGCAGATGCGTGTCTCTTATTTGCCTTCCTGTGGAAATGGGGCTGTGGGCACTTTTCCCGCAGTGCCGCTGAGCCACCAGCCACTGGGCCGAGTCACAGGAGGTGCACATCGATGACCGTGAGAGTCCCTGGGCAGAGCCTGCCCAATCTGTGGGGGCAGAGGTCTGGCCCTGGCCCATGTGAGCATGCAGCACCCATAATGGAGCCTGTTTGCAGCCTGTGCAGAGGTACCTCTGGGGTCGCTTGCTGCCTGTTGCCATCGTGGAGTACAAATATGAAACCATGGGTGCATGAGTCTGGTCCTTCCCAGGCTGGCAGAGGTGGAAGCACTTTGCCCTGCCTGTGCAATTCGTGCATGAAGGCAGGACTTGCCTCCCCAGTGCTCTGAATTCAGTGTCTTTTATGGCAGTGCTTGTACAGGTCTAGAACAGAGTGAGGGGGGACGACAACATTTCCATATTCTTTCTGAAGTCTGTGGCAGTATTTGGTTATGAACTGTCATCAGAGCAGCATTTTTTGTTATTCTGGTTATTTTATTCTCATGTATCCATCTAGAAATTAGTAGCTGCTAATCTGGAGCTTCCCTTCAGGTCTTGCTCTCCAAATGACAAATGCTTTTCTGCTTACACCTGTTAAATTTCACTGAAAATTCAGTACCTTCTTTAAGGTAATGAGCAAAAGCAGTAGACATATTTTTGATCCCATGCTATATAAGCCAAGAAAATGTGTCATTTGGAAGATCTGCCTTGATCCCAAATGCCATTTCAAAAATTAAGCTTCAATTTTAAGTAAGTGCTTCTTTTTGAAATTTTCCATTAGAATTAAAGTCTTTTATCTGTGAGGTGCAGGACACAATTTTTCTAATTCGGTGAAACATTTCCATATTCAGTTGAAGCAATCAATGTACTGATAATGTATTGTTGTATTAACAACCCTCTTAAACCTGTTCACAGGCAAAATGGAGAATATTTTGAATGAGGATAGTGTCAGTGACCAGACTCAGATCCTCCTAGTTAATGCAGCTTATTTTGTCACAAACTGGATGAAGAAGTTCCCAGAGGCAGAGATCAAAGAATGTCCTTTTAAAATCAACAAGGTATGTTGTGGAAAAAAAAAGAAAAAGACTACTGTTTCCACTCAAGAAAATGCAAACTTTGCGCTAAGGAAATCCCAATGAGAAAATGAGAAATGTTTATTATTACCATGGCATTCTTAGACTCTATCTAAACTTACATGCTGTTGCAAAGATCCCTAAATCAGTTTGCTCATCGTGTTGTTTTAAAACTTTGCTGGTGCTTTCACATCCATCTTTCAAAGGCCCAGTGTGAAAACAGACTCTCCTGTTAGTATAGACAACAGGACCTGAGTACAAGTGATCAGAAGCAACCACTGCCTACAAGGAGATGCACATCTCCAATATGTTGCTATTTTATTAAGTAGAATTCCTTTCCACTTTTCTTTGGAAAGCTGCCTACTGTAAAAAGCCAACAGGGTCTCTTACAGCTGGTTTCATTACATACGAAAGCCACCAAATTCTCTGATGGTGACTCAATGTATCATGGGTAGCTTCTTCCAAGAGATGGCAGCCTGTACCAGAAGCCACATCCCAAAACCAGCAGCACAAAACATTGCGTTTCTCGTGGTCACAGAGCTAGTGAAACATCTACAGCTGTGAGGTCTCTGAGTGTAGCCCTTAGGTGCCTGGCACTGTGCCTTCCTCTTCAGGAATGGCACCCCATCAATCTTCCTCTTTCCAGTCAGGCTCAGGACTGCAGCCCTCTGCATGTCAGCCCTGCTTAGCCAAGAGGTCCAAGTGAGTGCAACACCTATGGCTGTTGCCTTCAGGAATCTGTGACCAGTGATGAATATTGTGATCAGACAGTCAGCTTTAAACAAAGATATAAAACTGCGCAACATTTGTGAGACAAAGAGATTATACTCCAAATATATACATACATACATGCACATGTATATAGAAGTGCATGAGAAAAGTTGGAGTTTCAGGTTCACTGAAATTGTTCATAAATTACCACATCAGCTGACAGTTTCAGCTAAAAATGTTTTTAAAATTATACAATCAACACTAAAATTTTAGAGTGAAGCATGTCAAGTTTTTTTTCCCTAAAGTAATATTTTTCTACTGAATTTGAATTTTAAGTGAGTTTCCAGGTGAACAGAACAGTTTGTAAATCTTCCCTATGAAATAAAGAGTTTTGTTTCATTTTGTTTCAGTCATGAAAAGCAAAGACATAGGGCTTTAGGTAAGCCTGAAATTTCTTCTTATTCTGTTTCAGCTCCTGAACTAAAATATCAATTACTCTTATGAACAGCTTGACCTTCACTGTTGAGATGTGCTCAGTGCTTGACACTTACTGGCATTACAATGCCCTGTAGACTGTATAGTTTATAGGACTCAGTGAAACAGGCATGAAGGCCCACCAATACTAAGAAAATTTTTCTTTTAAGGCACATCCCCAATTATGTTGCTATTTTATTAATTCCATTCCACTTTTCTTTGGAAAGTTGCCTACTGTAAAAAGCCAACAGGGTCTCTTACAACTGGTTTCATTACCTATGAAAGCCACCAAATTTTCTGAAGGTAACTTAATGTACTGCTTCCAAAGCTTACAAACTTTCCTCTCTCACCATCTTACTTTACCTGTGAATTAAAAGGAATGCTAAGTTGTTTCCTCCGTGTTTTGCAGACTGAAACTAAACCAGTGCAAATGATGAATCTGGAAGCTACTTTTTGCCTGGGCTATGTAAAAGAATTAAATGTTGCCATCCTTGAGCTTCCATGCCTTAACAAACATATAAGCATGCTCATTCTGTTGCCCAAAGAAATTGAAGATGAGACCACTGGCTTGGAGCAGGTGAGAGGAACAAATAGAATTGGTATGGTGCTTCCCTTGGAAACAGCCTGCTTATAATGCCATATGCTTATGGAAGGTTTTTGTTATTTAAGTGCTATATAGAAGGAAATAAAAAGTAAGTTTCCTGTGAATTTACCTTCTCATTCTACCTCTCTGTTCCTGATCTCGTATTTGTGACATCATTGCTTCCACTGTGGCCATGGGTGAGGCTGTGAACAAGGCTTTGTTTTAGATGGGATATGCTCAGGAAACAGTGTAAAGTGCAGAAGGTGCCCATGATGCGCTTTAGGAATCTGCATCAATTTGAAAATCTGGAGCCCGAAAATAATTTTCATCTTAAGATTTTTGTTCTTGCTATAGTAAACTGCTTAAAGTCATACTTACTGGGTATTCAGTAGTGCTGAAATTATTCACTCTGGTGAACTCATTTTTTCAGTTGACATGTATCTGATTTATTTTACTAAGGTCTTACACTTCTCTAAGTTTTAATTTTGAGCAGAGGTGCCTGAAAATGAGCCATTTTTTATTACAATTGCACATAAATTTGAAAATGAGTAAGGCATTTCCTAGAGAACAAACATTTCTTATGTCATTTCTCTATGAAAATTATAGAGCATATTTTTGCCTCTCTTCAAAATTTAAGGATTAAGAGATAGATGATCACACAAGTCTCCTTTCTAATTTGTTGCAACTGACCATAATTTTAAAGGCAGAAGGAATCTGCCTTTGCAACTGTAAGGTACTTTTATATGTAGCAGTAAATTACAGAACACACATATCTTAATATGCAAGTGAGGCCTTTCCTGATACCAATTTGTTGTGGCCCCAGATTCTGCCTCCTCACTTCCCAGTTTTAAAAAAATTGCTCAAACAGCTGCATATTTGATTGAGATCAGGCTCTGGATTTGGAGTATTTTTCTTTCCCAAATACCAGCAATTTCATTACTCTGTAGGGTCAGGAATCAAGACTTTTGGATCTGCCAGTCAGCTGGGTGTAGCCTGGGTAGAGACTGTCTTTCTCAGGTCCCTTCATAGGGTTGTTGAGGTGATTGCTTATCAAAAGCTTGTAAGGGGCTAATAGTCAGAACACGCACATACAGTGGAGTTGCTCGAGACGCTGGATTAAATCATACTTGCATCAATATAACTGAGAGTATGTTAATCCTGAATGCTACTGCTGTGAATTCAGAAGCAAAGGTTTCCTTTTGGACTTTATTTTTTGGGGGCTTGATAAGAGTTGGAAGTTCAGGAATGGTCTTTTTTTTTCCTGTCTTTCCTTGGACTGCTCATTAATTTCTGTTGTTCCTTTATGTCTTCAGCTGGAAAAGGCACTCACCCCTGAGACATTATTACAGTGGACCAATCCCAGCATGATGGCCAACACCAAAGTGAATGTATTTCTTCCAAAGTTTAGCATGGAAGGTGATTATGACCTGAAGCCAATTCTGGAAAGCTTGGGAATGAAAAATGTCTTCAATGAGAGCACATCAGATTTCTCTGAGATGTGTGAGACAAAAGGTGTGGTTTTGTCAAAGATCATCCATAAAGTCTCTTTGGAAGTAAATGAACAAGGTGGCGAGTCCCGAGAGGTACCAGGATATCGGATTCTGCAACACAAAGACGAATTTAAAGCTGACCATCCATTTATCTTTTTGTTTAGGCATAACAAAACTCGCAACGTGATTCTTTCAGGCCGATTCTGTTCCCCTTAAGCAGGGTGTGTTCATTACGAAAAAGCACAATTACATTTATGGTGGTGCATGTTCCTGTAAAGCTTGGCATCCTGACTATCACTTTTGAAAGGAAATCTAAGAGTTTCATATATCAGCTGGGTAATACAATGTACTCTACATATGCAGCAGAACTAGTTTATCTCCTTATGTTTCATCCCCTTAAGTTGAAGGATTCCCACTGTGAAGAACACATCGTATTTTACTGAGAAGTATCCCAGCCTCAGTAGCAACTGTATTTTGTACCTCTGTGACATCTTTTTCCCGAAACAAAGTGAACTGAAAGCCTGTTTTAGATAGACCAGGAATTGGAAAGGGCTCTGGGAGGAAGAGCTGCATTCCGGCTCCCTAGCCAAACCACTCTCCCTCATGACCCACGCTCTGTGGATTCCTACTGCCTAGAAGGGGAAAATGTGGACATGTGGGGTGATAGCCCTCCCCTTGTACCTGGCTACACTCTGGTGGTCCAGAGTGCCCTACCAGACCCTGCCAATGCCCAGTGAAACAGTGCCCATGTTCTGGAGCGTAGCTAGACAATTCAGGCCAGCATCAGAGTTTGCATGTGTGAAACAGCAGCTGCACAGAGACCTATAAATGCAAGAGGCAAGAATCATGGTGACAAAATGTATACCCAGAAGTCTCTTCAGTGTGAGCTACGTTAGTTCCTAGATTGGGGAAGTTGGACTGTGCTGCGTGGGATTTTTTTGACTCAGTGCCCTTCAGACATGGAAGATGGGACCAGTTCACTGCAGCTACGAGGAGCCCTGTTGTATGTATCCTGAGAAAAAGAATGTTATGCAATTCTAGGATAGAAAACAGTTGCATTAATACTGGAAGTGCCACGCTTTTGACATACAGATTATCTGCCATTTCTAGTTCTGGATTCAGCATTAAGGAGACTCCATATAATTGCATAATGTCTGAGGCATGAGAAAGAAATAAGGACTTCAACTTGAGTGAGATTAACATTGTAATTACCAGTCTCCAAATTCCATATGATATCATGGTAATCAGATTTCATTTCTATCTAAAGACTGTCTGCTGCATATGTTCAGTACTGGTTTACCTAATTACTATTCAGAATAAAGCACTATAAAACCTGTGTCAAATGTCTGCAATACCTCCAGTGTCAATCTGTGTGTTCACTCTTGTGTGTTCACTCTTCACCTCCAATAAATGACAGGAATGGAAATGAACAGATTCACTTAGGTCACAAAGTCAAAATAAAAAAACTAAATCAATGTCTCGATTGCCCTTCTGGACCACATGATGATAGTTCCCAGTAAGGACTATGTTACTAGCTGGTCACAATATACAGAGAATTCAGTTACGTATCCTCAAAAAATGGGAGCATTTTACTTGAGAATTCCGCTTGGTGCTTCAGGTCGGAAAGAAACTGGAAAGAGATTTCTAAATGGGAACATGCAACCCATAATATGCATACTTATCTTCTAACATCAGAGAACAGCACGGTTGTTATTGTGATTTTGGAGACAGGAGTTCTGTTTTGATTCTTGACCTTGCCAACCCATGAGAAGGCTTTAGTCAGAATGATTCAGTGGTTTTACCACTTTCCTTCCCTCTGTGGACCTTTAATGGACTCTAACACATTTTAATACCAGAGGGTTAACTGGAGTCACTGGCCCATGTCTTTGAAGGTACTGAGGGGACTAACCTCCACCAAAACCAACGAGAGGTGAGACCCTGCAGACCTCTGGGGGTCTTTGCTGATATGCATCAGGTGTCCTGATACATGTATAGGAGTCAGAAGAAGAATGCAAAATATAAAAATTACTTTGCAGCCCATCCTGTCTGAGAAGGAATGGCCTGCAAATATCTTTACCAGCTCAATAACTTCAGTGATAGCGGAATGACTGGGAAATGTTTTATACACCTTGTCATTGTCTGATCTGTTTTGGAGGCTGGGGTCAGAGTTATCCAGAGCTGTTGTCACTGTGGTTTCTACTGGTTCTCCTGTAGGAGGTCAGTCCGGGCGTTGCACTTGCAGTTGACAACTGACTAAGCAGCTACACAGGCAGTCCGTACATAGGCAAGATGGACTAGTCTGTACACTTTGCGTTTGGGCACTGACTCTTCGTTGGGTAGTTCCAGTTGTCCAGCAGGCCATATCACACTTATTGCTACATCTATGCTGGTCTGCTAGACTGCTGAAAACCTCTGGCAGATTGCCCCATCCCTCTTTTTCTACCTGGATGAGATGTCCTGAAGGAGAAAAGTTCAGACATCACTCTCTCAGCTTTTTCGGGTTCTGAAAACATTGCAGTCTGGGAGCCAGTCTTCATTCAGTGGAGCTCATACTCAGTTTAAATGTTGCTCAGAGCATTTAGCACATCCACACAAATTCACGTAAGCATGTCTTCTCAGAGAGTTCCTTGTGATAGCTTTGCCAGGAAGGGTTATCCCACGAAAGCAGAGAGAAACACCGCCTCAGAGTGGGGCCCGTCTTTCTCCACCTCCTGACTCATGCCCAGGTATCCCAGCCTATGCAAGGCAAGCAGATGTTGGAGATACAAAGCTGTCTTACTCTACAGAAGGCAAACCCATTTCTTGGTCATTTATAAACAGGGCGGCTTGCCCATGAAAATCTAGGTTCATTCTCAGCTTCATTTTTCACTTCTGCCTCTTCTCTCGACCAGTCCCAGTATGAAACCTATCCATCTTACAGCATGTGAGGGAGAAGTATCAGCAAGGCTCCTGCTGGTGCGAGAAACACTGTTACGATCTATTGTTTGGTTCCACCCGTGCTGGCCTCTGGGCCTTGGGCAAGAAATTGCATGGGAGGACATGGGAAAACATGTGTGGGAGCCTGTCTATAGGAACACTTACGTGCTGAAAGGTGTTGGTTATGACGAAGAAAGTGAACATAGCTGAGGACTTGCTCAGGTCGCCCAGCTGCTCCACCTCACCTTTCAACAGAGCATTTCCAGTGATGGGTGACGGCCCTGATGGAAGAAAGCAAGCCGTGGCTAGCTATTGCAGGCAGTTGCAAATTGCAGTATTGTGTATCTAGTCATCTCACCACTTGCTCAGCTGCACAGTCATTGCCCACTCCTTGCTGCCAGCATTTTGTAGAAGAGAAGGGATACATCTTAATGTCTTCTGGTAACAAAAGTTGTTTGTGGGGAAGAGCAGTTTGGTTTTGAATCTTGAAAAATGCTACCTAGAGCCCATTGGCCCCACTGGAAAAGCAGTACAGTTTTGAACCCTGAATATACTATCCTAAGGGCCTAGAAAAGGCACAATTGGCACATACATTGACATTTCCTGAGGCAACGCAGTTAAACTGATGTCAAGGAAGTTCTGAGGGAATATATGTACAGAGCAAGTAAAATAAATCAGTGGAGGAATTAGGTTAATGCAGGAGAGAGGGAGAAAGCACAGAGACTGGAAGAAGGAAAATCTCGAAAGACACTCAAAAATACTTAGATTGTCACTGAAAAGAGGCTAGGACTCATAAAAGCAGAAGAAGAAAAGATACATGGTAAGGCAATGTGCAGAAATAAACAAAAAAAACCCCAAACAGATAAAGAGACAGAAAGAACCGAGGAGGAAGACTGAGGAACACTACAGAAACATGCAGGAAGGAAGAACTGAATGGCAAATGGAAGCAAAAAAGTGAGGAAAAGAATAGGGATAACAAGACCATTCATTCTATCATTGTATCCTCCCATTGTTTACAAATCCCTCTTTTCGGATGGGCACTGGGACACTTGGTTGAGACCTTGGTAGAGGAGCAGGGAACAGCAAAGCTGGTGGGAGCTGCGCCTGAGGAAGAGGGTGGCCCAGCTTCAGCACTAGAAAGGAGGTGTGGGAAGGGCAAGATGGGGCTGGGAGGCCTTCTTCCTCTTCCCTCCTTTCTCTCCTCACCATGTCTGATCCCTCAAATATCCTATGAATCCAAAGCTGTTTTTATGATTTGTAGGAAGAAAGAAGAGGTGAGAAAGGGAAGACAGAAAATTTTCAGCTTTGCAAAGCCACATACAACCCTAGAGGACTTAATTTTGACCCCTGAGACCAGCTGCCATAACCCAGTATTGCACCTGAGCTCAGTGGTGCTGATTAGGGGAGATCAAACACTGTGCTGGTGCAGCTCCATGCTTCCCATCTCTTTACTTCCATCTGATTTTGTGCTGGAGACATAACCTGTGTGATCAACCACTCTTGGCCTTCTGTTATTCTTAACTCCAATGATTTAAAAGAATACCCCCTGGCTGGAGATTCCTGTTACAGTTCAAGGAAATACTTTTTCCCCTCTCTAATTAAGCTCCTTCCATATGCATAAAGCTGACTCCTTACCTAAGAGAGATAGATGACTGTAGGCAACATAAAGCTCATGCATTTCCCATTCATTTGTTCTATCTCTGCAAGCAAGCTCAGCTCCAAACAAGGCTTCTCTGAATCCTGGCATGAACCCTGCACACCTCTGTGTCCAGGCCAGACCCCACCAAATTTGAAAGGGACTGTGCATAGCAGTACAGCCATGGATCTCCAGGGTTAATACCCAGGTTTGCAGTTGAGAGTGACTTGGCATTGCAATTAAGAGATGCTGTCAGCAGATATTGCCTGACAAACTTGTTCGGCAGCTTTGAGAGAAATATTACTAGCGTATTGCTAGATACAGGTATAGATATAGAAGTCTTCTGCAGGAAACTTCATGGCATTTGCATTAAATTGCAACATGCTGCTGTCAACAATTGTTTGAGAGGCTGAACTTTCCCACAAGAGAGTGGGAGATGTTTGTAATACAGTATTCACAAGAACGTGCTCCAGAGCTCAGCTGTTGTGTTCTTCATTTAACCTCTTTGGGCAAGAAGGTAAACAATTATTTTTTCTTTCTTTTTTTTTTTTTTTCCAAAAATAACTTGTGATTTTTTTTTTGGCAGATCCAAAGAGGTCTACAGATTGGTAAAGTAAACATCATGTTTACAGATGGGACAGATAGGGAGATGCCTTTACAGGCT